ACCTATCTTACATTATCCAAGTAAATCTTAATGTATTGGAGAGACAAATCATCCTTTAAGACTAGAAGTTGGATTACTGAAGTGGCCAACGAGCTAGCATGACTTAATCAGCATGTTTTACATCTTGCATTTGTAGTTTCAAACAAATATTTGCAAACAAATTGACAGAAAAACTACTAAAGCTGGCCTTATCTGTTGCGGAGAAATTAACATTAATCTCATGTYAGTTTTGATCAAAGCTTCATAGAGCCACAGAGGGATCAAAGAGTTGCATGTGGCTCCAGAGCTGCAGGTTGCAGACCCTAAGTTTAAAACAGTCGAAGTACAAAACTGGCATGACCAAGGAGTAGCTCATTTAACACCAGTTGCCTTTTATATTTTCACAAAATCTTTTAAAAACAATACAAAACCCAATAAAATAAAATAAAAATTGTATAGAGATAAACTTATCTTCCACAAATAAGAAAAACCCCTTAGGATTCTTGCTGAGAATCCTAATAGCCTTTTCTGTCATTTCTGTAAGCGAAGGGTCCATGGCTGCATCACGGTCCAGCTCATAACGGCAGTCCTTGGGCTCAAACAGACCTAAATACAAAACATAAATCAAAAAAATTAAAACGTATAGGCCTGAGCATTATTACATAATTTCTACATGTTTTCTGTGTGTAAAAAAATAACAAAACCACTTCTTACCCAGCAAGAAATCTGTCTGTTTAGGATCGAYGGCGTCAAAATCAGCTTTGTTCCAAACATATTTAGCTCTCTGTGTTCCACAAACAGCAACAAAACACAAAGGTTAGAAATTATACTCATGTACAATTTACAGTGCAGCTAAGTGGCACAGAAGATACATTAACACTAATACCAAACTCTAAACAAGTAAATGCATGCAAATTCACCGTTTTGTTTTTTTCCCACTCTTTAACAAGATTTTGTCCGTCCTTTCGGGATCCAGTCTCAGATGGATATTCTGGGTCTTTCTCAGTTTCGGGAAACATGTACCTACGACCTCCACCAAGAATGACCTGTGTTGAAAGAGATTGTAAAAGKTTTTTTTTTCATCTCTTATGTACACTGTGCCTTTGCATTTACACTGTTTATATGAAAACCTCTCCTCCAAAGATCATAATTAGAATAAGGAAGTAAAAATAAAGTCGAGGTTGTAGAAACCTGGTTGGTTGGTTTCATAAACACTCAGAAGTTCTTCTCACTCAAGAACAAGAAGCTTTTCACATKTTRAATGTGACTTACATCTATCTCTGTGTTGTGAACCAGCTGATAGGCRATGTCACGGCAGCCGTTTTGGACGGCTTCAGAGGTGAGGTCAGAGTCAGCGTACCAGTCTCTGTTAGCAGAGTGTGCATAGCTGGCTGAAGGTGAAGCATGCTGCACTCTTGTAGTTGTGACAATTCCAACAGATTTACCTGAAACAAATGGGATTTTAATCAAAATGGACACCTTTTTAAAATTGCAAAGTGCCCTTATAGTAAAACGAATGCAGTTCAAGCCATCTGTGTTGTCATTATTTTTCCCCCCATGCAGAGGGAGTACTGATGAGCAATCACAGAACAGTGGGGTTCAGGTATGTTAACAAAACGTTGTCGATGGGGGGCCCTACCTGCTTTCTTGGCACGGTGCAGAACAGATGTGACCTCGTTGCCATGAGCAGCTTTACAATCACTCCTTGGAGTGGCAGCAGAGACTCCCACGGTGCCATAGTTGGCTTTTACACCACATAAGTAGGCTGTTGCTGTGCCAGCGCTGTCTGGCATCTGCTGGTCCACGTTGTACGTCTGCAGGGACCAAACAAGGACAAACAGCTGCGTTTGAATTTATCTCAATCGTTTTATTTATTTATTTATTTATTTATTTATTTATTTATTTATTTATTTATTTATTTATTTATTTATTTATTTATTTATTTATTATGTCATGGACTCAGACACATTCAGAAAACTTGGACATTTCGAAAATGGTAAAATCGACTCCTATAAGCTTTGGAAATTTGAGTTTATTAACCCATTTGTAATGGAGGTACACTTCGTCCGTCTGTCCGTCCATTTTCTGCCACTTATCCGGGGTCGGGTCGCAGGGGCAGAAGCCTAAGCAGAGAGACCCAGACTTCCCTCTCCTCAGCCACTTGGGCCAGCTCGTCCGGTGCAATCCCAAGGTGTTCCCAGGCCAGCCGAGAAACATAGTCCCTCCAGCGTGTCCTGGGTCTTCCTCTGGGTCTCCTTCCAGTGGGACAAGCCCAGAACACCTCACCAGGGAGGAGTCCAGGAGGCATCCTAACCAGATGAGCCACCTCAACTGGCTCCTCTCGATGTGGAGGAGCAGCGGCTCTACTCTGAGTCCCTACCAGATGACTGAGCTTCTCACCCTSTYTCTAAKGGAGAGCCCAGACACCCTGCAGAGGAAACTCATTTCAGCCACTTGTGTCTGCGATCTCTTTCTTTCGGTCACTACCCAAAGTTTGTGACCATAGATGAGGGTAGGAATGTAGACTGACGGGTAAACCGAGAGCTTTGCCTTCTGGCTCAGCTCCCGCTTCACCACGACAGACCGRTACAGCACCCTCATCACTGCAGACGCAGCACCAATCYRCCTGTCGATCTCCCGCTCCATTCTTCCCTCATTCATGAACAAGACCCCGAGAYACTTAAACTCCTCCACTACACAGGTRCACAGGTACACTTTTAAGATAGGAATTTATGAAGACTTATAATGATACCATAAATCTTTATTCTTTAACGTGTCAGATTGTTGCCTCTTGATTCTTTAGTTAAAGTGTGTGGTATAGTTTAACTAAAAAACGATGTCCTTTTTTTTATCACTGTATTGTTTCATGCTAAGTTGCTTTTTAAGTTTAGTGATTGCTCCCTAGATACCTTTTTTGTATCATATTACAATTATTGCTTTGGTTTTCAAGACATTTCTTTCTGAACTGCAAATAGCAGAATGTTTCTGAATTGGTCAACAATGGTTGTGTGTCCATGAATTTAGGTAACCTTAAAGACATTAACATGACTTATTACATACTGTGTGACAACTGAAACTTCAAGCTGTTAGGAAAAAAATAACCTTTTAAAGGAACWTGCTACTTTATTTTGAGGAAAAACAAAATAAATTGAGTTTCCCTTCAGGTTTCTTGTGATTTTGTCAGTGAAGCAATTTTTGGCTAAAAGAGTTGAATTGTGTACAAAAACTATAAAGAATTATCACAAAAATAAGGCAGCTTAGTATTATCAATGTTTTTCCCCCTTCTAACATGACAATACAAAACATCAGTGAGATTGTGCTGACCTTTGATAGTGCCAGGTGAGGGAAGGTATCCATGACTAAACTGCTCTCCTCTCCTGACTGTTTTCCCAGCTGGCCTTTAAGGATCCTGGTAGCAGTCACTGTTGGTATACCCATACCTGAAATAAGATGCAATGAAAAGTCACAACTCAGTCATTGAGCTGAATCTCATGATTTTCATTAAAGTTCATTAGTATTTGTTCAACAATTACTTTAAATTGGCTGTTTTTAGTAATATATATTTTGTGTATAAAACTGCATAAACGGAACAAATTATAAATTACTGAAWCCTGGTCACTTTTATGGACAAACACGTAGTCCCTCGTATCATCAGGTCATTTACAAGAACTTTGATTTGTTGTCATAAACATCATCAACGCACCGATTACAGAGTGTTGAAATGTTACTGATCAATCCCAAACACTGATAAAATCTAAAACATGCTGYATTCAGCATGTTCTGAGGGAGTGGACACCTCCATAATTTTCTCATAAATTACCCATAAATTTGTAATAAGCACAAGTCACTGCTCAAATAATGATACATTTGAGTGCTAAAAAAGTGAAAAGTGACAAGTGAATCCAAAATTAAGATTAATCTTTTTTAATCAGTATAAATCCCATTTTGTTAGTGTCTCAGAATGTTTAACATAAAAGTGGCTCTTTTCCTATTAATCTATTATCCACATTGATGTTTGATTATTCATTTATTTTTTGTGCTTCACACTGCAGAGAATCCTAAGYTTTTGGGTTTAGATTGCTGAATTCTTACACATTTGAGATTTTAATTATCTTTGAATAAAAGAAACTGGGTAAGTGCTCGACAGGTGAAAGAAATGAMTGTAATACAGAAAAGACTCACCGTCGCCCAGGAAAAGGATGAGGTTTGTGGCCTGGCGCAGATTTGGCTGAATATTCATAGCAGTGTGAAGAGCCTGTTTCCCTTTGTTGTTCCAGTGACTAGCATAGCGCTCATCCGCTATGAGCAAGACAAATGTAAGAAGATGGTAACAAAAAGAAAAGACTTRTGCAGCATTAGTTAAACATCTATATGAGGGTAAAGAAAGACTWGTTTATTATACAAACAAATGGGCAGTAGCAAATAAATTATCAGAAGAAAGAAATGAGTATTGAAAAGCAACAGTGAAAAGAAACTAATTAGAAGTAGAATTTTTTTTACCAACATTGTCGATAAATGYTTGTATGTGCATTACAGAATTTAGATTTCTAATTTCCTTTAGCAATATTTTACATTTATTATACTAATGTTTAAAAAAAACGTTTTTTGCTTCGGTCAAATAGCTCTGTGACTGTCTTTAGGGTCGCTTTGAAGCAACATTTGATTTTAAACTGATAGCCAATGGGTGTATGGAGAGGCACGGCAATATAGCGATTAGCGCTTTCACCTCACAGTGGGAGTCACAGGTTCAAGTCCTGACCTTCCTGTATGGCATTGGCATGTTCTCCTCATGTACACACGGGTTTTCTTTGAGTACTCCAATTTCCAATTATGTTAGGTTAACTGGTAACCCTAAATCATCCTTAGGTGTTYGTGAGAATGCAAGTAGCTTCGTTTGTCATTTGTGACCCTGTGGCAGACTTGCGACCCTTCGTCTCGCACAGAGACTGTTGGAGACAGGCACCAGCTCTCTGCAAACTACGTAAGAAAAGCAGGCAAAGAAAATGGATGGAAAAATATTTAACAGCAGCAGTACGAAGAATACTCTTACGTGATGCGCATGAAGTCCACTGTGCCGAGATGAAAATGAAGAATCCAGTAAAAATGAGCTTATGTTCTTTTGCCATTGTGCTGCTTACATATGAATTTGCTAAACTGTGCATGTCCTCTTACTTAAGTCCCATTTATAGCTGCATGGGGCAAAGGGTGCATAATTGTTAGGGCCATAATATTCATAAAGAAACACACACCCAAAAAGGAGAAGTGAAAAACCTTTTACTGATTTTCCAATAAATTTAGACCAGAAGTTTTTGATGTGCTAATAAAATGTAATTGATTGRCAAAGCTTTCATAATTAATCAGAACTTGATAAAGGACAAACTGGCAGATATAACTCTCATACTCTTTGTYTCAATTTATATGTACAATGTATATTCCTGTATTTCTTACTACCTGCATTTTATTTTCATAAAATAATATATTTTAGGACAATTATAAGTTTAYATACGCTTCATTTTTCTGACACAGATAGATGACAGGAGCATGTGGGATCAAACATGGCAATCATTAAACCTAAGTATGAACCAATAAAACTATAATCTGTTTTTTATCTTCATGCAATTTTGTTAGGTAATCTTTAAGAACACTGGTGAATTCTAACTAATATTAATCAATATGTTGTTACAGTTAACATAAAACACTGTAGCTTGGTAGGCTAATGATTCATAAAGTGATTTGAGCGTTCTGGATTGTGACATTACTGATTAACATTTTTTTAATTATTACACATGATAAAACACTAACAGAAGTCAACAAATTCTGTATAGAAAAGGTTTTTAAAATCACACCCATTAATCCTGTTCTAAAGAAAAGCGAACATCCTATCAAATGTTACCTTAAGGAAACTATTGCATGAAAAGAAGGGACTCAATGCAAAAAGCTAAATGTTTATACCTATACATATGGAACAAATAGTATAAAAATACATTCAAATTACTTACAATTAACTTACAAAATGTTTCCCTTTACAATTTGAACAGACCACAWACAGTACATCAGATGAATATGACATTTGAGATCGGAAAAACAGCAATGTCAAAAACGTACAGTATTTTTCATAAAAACAAAACAAACTATGTTTTTTTTGTTTGTTTGCGAAGAGAGAAAGAGCTTGTATGTGATTGTGAAAGGAGGTCATTTAATAATGTAACAGAGACAACAGTTCGTAGTTCAGGTTTAAMTGACTCATCTTTTCCATTCGGACAGTCACAGTCAAGCACCACTGTCCTGCCACGGAGTCCAAACACTGAACAGCGACTTTACCCCAGCCTGCTTGTTTACTTCAAGTTATTTTAGGCCAAAGTTYAGTTTAAAGTGTGGACATGGTAAACTGTAACTTTATGTATGCGTGACATCACTAAGTTGGCTGTGCTAACTGAGACTCAATATAACATGGGAAAAAAGAACAACAAAAAAGCTCACCGAAATGGGGAAGTGGCAAGTTAGTGCARGTTTGTTGTCTCATTAAAGCTCTTTTTTAAGAACTTCTCACAACTGTCTGTTGCATGTGTATTAACTATCAAGTGCTTGCCTTTTTAAAACRTGTTTAAGCTTGCATATTAAATGTGTGTTTGCATAAAACTGTGTGTGGATAAATACCACGTGACACAAGCCAATTTCTGGTAACAAGTACAGCACTGTCAGTGTTTATCCCTGCTTTTTGGTTCGCCAGCATGTTCTCAAACAGTGTGTGTACACATATTCTGAGGGTTTAGTTCATAGCCTGTGCTATTCCATTCATATAAAGTAACAGTAAATGTCTGCAGGTGGGTCGGGGGGGTGGGTGTCATCTAAATAACAATAGGTGTCCAAGCATGCCTATTAGAAGGCTTAGATGTGTGTTCACACGGCCAGTTGATGAGCGGCTGTGCGGGTGTGGGTGAGGAGGGCAGTTTCTGTATGGCTCCAAACAGGCAGCGTAGGCCATGACGTGTGCGACGTAGTTCTGCTCCTTCACCCCATGAAACAGGTGAGCCATGGGGCCTTTGGCGTAGATGGTCACATCCTCTCCTCCATGCGTCTCAGCRTCCAACGGCACGGCAGCCTGCTGCATGTACTCCTCATCATCTACAAATGACAGTTAGTGTCAAGTGAAGCTTAATGAACAAAGTATTAGCCTATTAGTTTTATTCAACTCAGCAGACTAGTTAATGAGATATTTGATWATAGAAATCAACTGTACTGTACTACGACGCAACCTTGTGCCCTTTCTGTGCTACTTTGGCTTTTTGTGCCATTACTCTTCCAGATGTGACACAGATAACRTGATTACATTTCCTTCATATGTTATTTTTTTCTCTTTTTCTTTTTGGTAGTTTGGCTCACGAGTTACTGTATTACACATCTGTAATTGACCTAATTAAATGTAATTGCTACCAAGTTCTTTTGATGAATATTACAGAAATAATGCTCAACTTTCTTTTTAGGAAAAACAAACACAGCAAGTGAAATTAAGTGTTGAAATTATTGTGATGAAAATACTGCTCTAGATAAAGAATCTTTTTTCCACAACGTTAGAAACTGGTTGTGAACGTGTCTTGGAAAGCTTTACTCTCTAATGCTTGTACTTTTTTTAAAACGTTGCAGTTGTCTTATATCATTCATCAGRGTGCAGACGCCGACTTTCGCAGTGCTTCGTGCCTCTACAGATGGATGCATTTAACAAAACTAATCCCTTGAGGTGCCAGATGGGTTGAGTGTATTTATGAAATATAACTTCCAGGTCCAAAACTTAATGCCAGTCCATTAAAAAAAAAAAAGACAAAATTTTGTTTGAAAAAAAAAATAGGTAATTCATAGTTTTAAAAGCTTGAAATACCCATGCAATGATGTTGCATTAGTACTGGGAGGTGAATAATGCAGAATAAGAGAGGGGAATTCAGTGTTTCACAAAAAAAGATGCCTCCTAAAAGCAGTTCCATGAACCCAGTGAGTTCTGTGGAGAGAACTAAACAAATGGCTGGACCGTGTCTGCCATAAACAACACGTTTCATCTTTGCTGTCACAGCCTAACAAAGGCATGAGTCAGGCATAACCACATCAGTTAAATCTGTCTGTATACACATCGACTCAGAGAAGCTCATGCATCTGAAAAACATTACTTTGTACTCACAGTAATCCACCATTGTGATGTTCCCTCTGGTTCCGTTTATGTGCACATAACCAGGGCCGTTGGCGTAGAGGATGCTGGTGAAAGGCATTTCGTCATCGGCTTTCTTTGGCGCCAGACCTGAATCACGATAAGGGAAAGTCGGTAATATTAGCCATGTTTAGCAGGATTCTCTCATAGAGGCAAAATATGCTGATTCTCAGATACTTTATCACAAATCTTAAGGTGCGTAACAGGCAAGAAACGTTTTCTTATTTGGCTTTAACCCAAGTACATTTTGTGAGTCTGATCTTTTGCCACTTTTAATCTCAACAGCATCCACGTGTTTGTGTTTACCAAAGATGGGATTCCCTCGAGGCGTGTTACCACCAAAGGTAAAGACATGAGAGTGGTCCGCAGTCACCACTGTCAGTGTGTCCGATTCTCTGGTTAGCCGTGCAGCTAGCTGAATGGCATGATCGAACATCACAGCTTCTGTCAGGGCCAGTTTTGCAATGCCATCATGGTGGCCATGATCAATTCTCCCTCGTACTACAGCATAMAGGAAAGACATTTCCATAAAGCCCAACACATTTGAGATGTGCGTTTTTTATTCAAGACTAATTGCACAATTAGCAAATGGGAATGGTTTTCTTTAGCTGTACTGCAAAAATACTTGTCGGTACTCATCTTCTACAAACAGAAAGTATCCTTTTGGATTCTTCCTGAGGATCTGGATGGCCTTTTCTGTCATCTCCACAATGGATGGATCACGTGTGACATTCCGAAAAACCTCAAACCTCATGTCCTTTGGCTCAAAAAGACCTGGAACCACAGAAAGTAAAAAAGAAAAATAAATAACAATAATAATAAATCTGAGACAGCTACCTAGAAACAAATTAGTTGAAGCATAAGAGCTTATAGCAATTTAAAATCAAAAAAGTCCTTGAAAGATTAGAATTACAGTTCAGGAACAACATAAATATTACAGATATAAGTGGACAAGATGATAGCAGAGTGATAAAGACTGCTGTGATTATATGCATCATTACCGTAAATAATGCACTATCGCTGCTCTAGAGGTTAATAATACAGTTAACAGTAAATATATAGTATCATAAAGACTCTTTGATCTTGTACTACAGATAATTTTTCTCTTTGTTGACACAACTTTATACCCACCCATAAGACGGTCAGTAGTTTTAACATTTATCTCATCAAAATCCTTTCTGTGCCAAACATAATGTGACTTTTTGTTCTGAAACACAAACAAAACATCCCATAAATGTATCTGTAAAAGTRGTCTTAAATTGAATTAGGCAATAATTCAGGATAAAGTTAAGTAGCCCTACTGGTTTGGCCTTCAACCACATATCAATGAGGTTTTTCTTGTCTTTGCGGCTCCCCTTGCGAGTTGTGGAGGTTGGATACTCTGGGTCTGGAGAGCCTTTGGGTGTCATGTACATCCTTCCTCCTCCCAGAATCACCTTAAAGACATCATACAATCATTCAACATATCATTTCTGACAAGAAGATAAATGTGTATCATGATGTGTGACTATAAAGAAACAAGTTAAGTTGTTTTTTCATCACGAGTTATGGTTTATGTTTAGGTTTAAGGCAAATTTCTTTTTGTTCAATGTGCTCAAAAATCTGTGATTAATTTGATTACAGGTCCGATATTTTCATATAAATAATTGAATAGCCWATCTCATGAATGTTWTATGTATTTCATAAAATGTATTTTTTATTGTAATGCGTTAAACATTATATTGAAAATACTATCAGCTTGGTTTTAGCTGATGTTTTTTTTTTCTAAAGGCAACAACACACATTCCCAAAAGGTGAATTATTTACAAATACTGAGACGTGACTACATATGCACAAGCAATAATACTTAGAGTATTTCATAAAATTTGAAATATTGGTCTAAAATGTTTTATAATACAAATTTGAAAAAAGTTTATGCTTGACGTAGTTTTAATTTGTTTTCTAAAGTTGTCTTGTTATATAATTGTCCTTGAACAGTGAAGTTACTTTAGAATTGTGAGTCATATTCTAGTGAACAATCACTACTGAGTAACCAACTGCAAGAATACAGTATATTGCAACTCTCTATCAGCAAAAAAAAGTAATAAAAACAGAACTGCAGGAGATAAGCTCTGTTGCAAACAYGTGCATGGATTATTTTAATGCAAATGTCACTGTAATTAATTATTAATTTGAAAAAGTATTTGTTGCTAAAAAAAAAGTGCCCCAAATAATTGTTCAATCGTACATCAATATCAAAGTTGGTGACCAGTTGCGTGGCGATATCAACACATCCTTGTCTGTGGGCWCCGGAGGGAAGATCTGCGTCGCTGTACCAGCTGCGGCTGACAGAGTGGGCGTAAGCAGCCGCTGGAGAGGCATGCTGGACCCGGGTTGTGGTCACTATGCCCACTGATTTACCTGGACAACCCAGAAACACGGTCACATCAGAGTCCCAGCTTTTTGTCATATAGTCTATAGATATAGTACATGCCTTGATGCTTTGTCCAATGCAATGACTATCACCACATGCAAGATCACATAATGAAATCTATGCTTTTTTAACATAGAGCACTATCTGTGACTGCAAGCAGCATCCTTATCAGAGGCCCTGTCACACTATAACATTTTAGACAACTTAGGTCAACTTGTGAAAAGTTTGTCCAACACTAAAAAGGTCTAAGTTATAAATGAAATAAAAAAAATAAATAAATCTACAGGAACCCTCTTTTGGACCTATATATACGTATTCATGCTAACAAGAGTTAGCATTAACATAGTTAGTATTAGATTGAATATATAGCCCACATGAGTAAAATAGCCATAAGAATATTTTCATAACTCAGCACAATTTGTTTAAAACGTTATAATGTGACAGGGCCTGCAGGTCCACACATTTTATGTTTATTATGTGTCCTGAGATAAAAAAATACAGTTTAAACTGGTTGAACTTTCCATTATTGCACGGCACGCCTCCAGTCATATTTTACCTTGTGCTTTAGCACGTCGAAGCACTGAGTAGACCTCATTGCCAAAAGTGGTGTTACACTCGTAGGCCACTGCTTTAGCGCTGAGTCCTAYCGTCTTAGCATTGGCCTTCACTCCACAGTGATAGGCTGTAGCTGTGCTGGCACTGTCTGCTACCTGCTTRTCCACACTGTAGGTCTGTAGAAAGAGAACAAACACCCAGTCATTTACAGTGTATGGCTGATAATACATCATTGTGGGAATAGGTGGGTTCAGTCTCAAACTCCTTCCCATTATTARCTCCCATTGATTTGTAACAATTGAAAAGTGTTTGATGTGTCATTTTACAGAATTGGTAAAGGCACTGTTAAGATGGTCTGTCTTCTCAGAGAGATATCTCCAATGCCTAGCTAACGGGTGGGCTTATCAAAACTATAGTATTGGATCAATACTAGCATGATGAAATTAATTATTTTGTTTACACTTTTTTGTACTACTGACTTATTTTTTTTACAAATAAAGTGAGAAATAAAGTCAGTGCAAGTCTCCAAATTGTTCTATCATGTGAAATGAAAGTACATTTTTGTTGTGTTATTGACGTTGTTATATTTATATTTTTGTTACGTTGTTGCTTTTTTATTATTTTGAACTAGTGACGTTTTTCTTAAACAGTCGTGTGCAGAAGGTAATATTTTTTATTACCTTTTTTATAATCTATGGTTGTTTTTATACCGTTACATCATTTTATTTCATGTTAGTTTGTTGATACAAAACATTTTTATTTAAAATATTTCTCCTGTTTCATCATAATTGACTAACTAGAGGGATAATCACATTTTCAATGAACATGACAAATATCTGTATTGATATYGACATCAATATTGGTATCAGAATATGTAATACTAGTCTTGTATGTACTTGCTATCGGTTTGATGCCAAAATCCCTATCAGCTAACTAAAACTTATTTTGTAAATTTTATTTAATTTTTTAGTAATGTAGAAACTCTTTTATAATGATAGGTTAAGACAAAAAGACCACAAATAATAAAAACAGATTTAACCTTTGACATCACTCAAATACCAATAATTTAGAGCTTATGATTSCTCAGAAAGCTGCGTGAGACCCTAAATCAATGTTCACTGTTTATGGTTTATTGTCAGTAATTTAGGTAAAGTATGGAGTTTAACCAAATCTTTTAAGTCTTTTTTTCTCCTCTGAGGTTTAAGACCTTATGCTGCAAGGGGGTATTATGAAACAAGATGCAGCATGTTAGTGGAAAGCAAAAGAAAAATGAGCACATACAAAACCCCTAAACCACCCATGTTTAAGTTGGGGAATTCATCTGGACTGCATCTTTGTCCTTTTTTTTCCGCTAACTTCTTCTTTTCACCATGTGCTGCACTGTGGTAATTCGACAAGCGGCCGTATACCACAGACTCGTTCAGAGATTTATATGCATTTCAATGAATGGTTTAGCATTTGATACATTCATTCTGTTGGATGTTTTTGGAATCCATGTGGAAAAGGGGCTCAGATTTTTTTTTTGGTTGGGGTGATTTTGAAAAGCTATCATTATTAAATATTAAAGTGTTCAAAAAGAACTAAAACAGCACCATTTATTCTGTTTAACTTTCTTTATCTATACATTTTCCTAACTGCTGCAATTTTTTATTTCTCTTATCCTTTGTAGTTGTTTTTAGTCCTCACAAATGCTTTCATCCACCAATCTACCTTCCTATACCCCCCAAAAAAACAGCCTAAAACTGACTGGTCAGTCAGCTTCATCATCCTGATTTGACACTTCCTGCCAAGCTTCATCAGCTCTGTTTAACTTTGAAATAGAGACAACACTAGTGTCATCACCTTGGAGAGGGCCACATATGGAAAGGTGTCCATGGCCAGCATCGCTTCTTCTCCAGAACCACCTTCCATTTGACCTCGCAGTATCCTTGCAGCTGAAACTGTGGACACACCCATTCCTACCAAGAAAAAATAAATAAATAAAATTACATTCAGGTTTTTCTTTTACTTTCTCTAGCTTTTAATCTAAATCTGCTGAGATATTGTAATGAATCATTTATTTAGCAATTAATGAATGTATTTTATCTCTTGGACTTTGTCCGCAGCTTCAAAAGTTTTAATTGACACAAGCAGCTGTGATGGATTTAACTTTAAAAAATCACAGTCATAAAACTGATGACAGACTCTTGGCCAAGGCAGACAGGAGAGATGCACAAAGAAAACTCAACCTCGACCACCCACACATGTGTCTAAGTAGGCTTAATTTAAAACAGATACCGTAGTAGTTAACTGGAAAACAATTCTTTAATCCTTCTCCTAATGCCTCACTAGCTGTAAATATAACACAATAGCACTTTTTTATCTGCTCCAGATGTAAACTGTCTCCCTCTGGCTGTYGCTGTTTCTGCAGGCACTGCAGTGCAAGATGATACAAAATTTGCCAATTGATTTTTGAATGGCTTTAATTTTGAGAGATGCACAGGCAAAGCAGGAGGTTTTTTGCCAAAACTTTGATGGTGCTGTTGTTCTCACACTTAACAAATAACCAGCTGTTAATGGTGCCAGTAAATGTATCAAAGTGTCAGCTAAGAATACTTTCAACAAAGAATATATATATTTTTTGGCGCATGTAATAAAAGTGCATTGCAGATCTTTGGAAGGAATAAAATCAAACCAATAAATGTAGTGAGATCAGCAAATTTGTTCTGKTGAGGATGAATTTGTTTCCAATAGRACCCTTTCAGTACTCRAATGCTTGGTTGTATTAGACAATCATGCAACTGCTTTAAGTAAAACTTCATTTCATCCAATTTTATATTTATTTTAAGCTCAAAACAGACTAACACATTCGAYATCTCTACTGTTTACACAGCACAAACCCATACCTAAGCATGTAAGCATAGCAAAAACACTGAATGCACTTGTCCTACTTTGCATTCTGAGCTGTTTGTACCAGTTACGAGAAAAGGTGTTTCTTCAGCCCCTCACTTTTATCAGAATGACTTCAAAACCTACCATCGCCAAGAAAAAGGATGATGTTCTTGGCTCTGTGCTCTTGAGGATGGAGTTTCAGTGCAGCATCCAGTGCTGCCTTTGCTTGTGTGTCCCAGTAGGATGGTTCTTTCTCGAGTTCATGTAGCACTGATCCAATGAAACAAACACACAGACACGGGGTGAAGGGAGTGCATGGAAATATTGGATAGGTCCAAACATTAAAGAAAATAAAATAATTGAAATCTACTACATAAATATTTGCACACATCTATTTTAACCCTTTGCTGCCACTTAGACTTACATTTTACCTTTTTATAAACAAGCAATTACACTGTCAAAATGACATAACTTGTCAAGACACTGAATTCTGTCCATTCATCCTTACTTTGTGGCTAAGTTAAAAGAAACAGGTACAGTCCTCAAGCAAACAAGAAAGGAACACTGGAACAACGGAAAGACAAACACCCAATTCCACTGTTTGCATTAACAGGTTGACACAGGCAAAAATATACTGACGCAGGCTTTTGCTCATCTGCGGAGACTTTCCACGCCATCCACAAACCTGAGTTGTGATCATGCATCGGTGCAGTTCAAGTTCTCTTCAGCAGACTGTGTTCACACAGTCAGACTTTCCAGGTTGAGGTTACCTGCTGGTGTACATTAGTCTGCCCACAGAGTACTAATTATATCCCATCTTTGCTGTCTTCTCACCTTGGCTGTCCAGAGTCGCCAAGCCTACAGCCATCAGGATGGGGCCCAGGAGGATAACCGGAAGACTTGTGGCACTGCAATGTGCCATTTGCATCCTTTTATCCACACGACCTGGAGGCTGGAGAGGATGACACAAGCAGCTGCAGCAACGAGACCAAAAAGGCAGAGGCACAGGCAGTGAGTGAGTGTGGCTGCCGAGACCTCCGGCCCAGCCTTTATAAAGCCCCGCTGGGGTGTGTAAAAAGGAAGGGCCTACGCCAGCTCCACAGGCTTAGAGCCACAAAAGAGGGGAGAGAGAATGTGAGGGAATCAGGAAGGACCAGGAGAGAGGCAGAAAGCAGAGGGAGAAGTTGGGACCACACAGGAGTCGTGGGGCATCTCAGCCCCTCTGCTCAGTTTGATTTCCAAGAACGCACCAGTCATGTTTTATTGTTTCAGGAGGGCGTATTAATTTTGGTCTCCCTACCTTCTCTGGCTCCTCTACTGTAAAAATCCGAATGGTTTTCTGGTGTGGTGAATGCCTAATATCTTATTATGAAATGATCCCTCAAGCAGGAAAAGAAAAATTGTCCAACCAATTTGTGTTGGCTTCAAAAGTGATACAAATCAGGACTGTGTGTCTTCTCAGTTCGTKCTCCCATCCCCTGGAAAAACAATCCAAGGGCAAAAAGTGGAAAATAGTCCAAACTATTCTTGAAAATACCATCAGTTAATCTTGATGTGCTATGCTTTTTTATGTCAGGGAAATGCTCATATTTCCATTTACCCCCACTTAGATTTTTTTTGTCTGTAAAAGACCCCAAWATGTTCTCTCGCCAACTCATCTTGGCTGGTTTTTCTGCGGTAAGTGAAGCAGGACAGGCATTTTTCTTCTGTGAGGTAGTGGAGGCTGCCTGGGAAAATGAAAATGTMTTTTCTCTTCTGCACTAACAAAGCRGTTGATGTGCGAACTGAGGTGAGTTGGGCCAGCCTTRCTCCACATGGCCCCGGGAATCAAGTTCCCGGAGAACGCCTTTTTACTTTGTGGCTGAATCTTGTTACGATTCAGAGCTCTGGAACATCTCTCTCCAACCACTAACTTGTTGCCAGCAGGGGTTTCCAGTCAGTCACATGTACCTAATCAAGACTGCAATAAAATCATAGCAGTAATCTGGCTGAAGAGGCCTCACGTCATGTGGAACTGTACCACACGAACTGGAAATACCAGCATCAGTGCGCAAAAAGCAAGAAAACTTGTTTGGCGCACATCTGTTGGGTCATTTGTTGCATATTTGCCCCCTGGGAGGAAGTCTAGTTTATGTAATGAAAAGTCAAATTAGTTTTCTGCATGACAAATTTAAACTTCTTGTTCTTGGGGGTCTTTTGTGCATCAGTTGGCTGATTATATGGTTTGAAAGCAGGAAGAAATATTCTTGGAATTTAACAACCTTAAATCTTAAAATAGCATCACAATTGCAAGTTATGATTTTATATTTTAGTGGTTTTAGACTCAAAATGTATGAAGACGCAAAGAGCCATGATATTTGCATTATGAAAGAATTTTACAACATAATTGTGTGTTGGCTGCATCAGATAAACCATATGTCATTCATAAAAATTAATAAATCAATTTCATTGTTRTTGTATACCAGTAAGTCATGTCTATAAGACAAACTTGGTTAGATACTTGATCCTTTTGYGATGGCATTTTTATCTATTTCGAAGTTATTCTGTWGRCAACAGACAGTTACAGTTTGATRCAAGGACAAAAATGCTGATGTTRAATAAAAAAAAASATATTTGGTCAAAAWGTGGCTACAGTTCATTTTGTTGAAAGACATTTTTGAAAATAATCTTAAGTGTGAACCTAAAATYGATAATGTTATTGAATTGGGACTTGCACGAACTGTAACATTCCTAACGGTGGTTATTCTGGCTTCTGTTGGAGTCCTTGTGTATATTTTTGGTGCAACAGATGGTGACTTCTGTTTACTGCTGAGATCACAAACAGCGGATAGTCAACGGGGGGTGGGGGGGTGTTTAAACACTTCCTGTACTCATGCTAGAAAATGTATGTCCACGCATCTCAAACAAATTGTATCAATAAAAGGGGGGAAATAAAAATCTTTTTTATTTATCCATTATGAGAAGTAATGCTGAAATGACTTTTATTTGGGATGAGATGGGGGAAAAGGGTGAAAAAATGTTTAAACTCTCAGATGGATGATAGTTGTTTTTAGTTCTGTTATACAATTAGAAAAGAAAACCAGGTTTTAAAAGTTTTATTTTTTTAAAGAAATCATTATGTCGTCAAAAGCTAAAATTGCAAAATAAGCTCTTAGATGTGACCAAACATGTTATTGCTTTAAACATAGTAGATCTCAAGTCTTTGTTTTTAATGGTTTTATTAGGGTATGAGTACACACTACAGCTCTCTCATTTACTCTGAAAATGAATTACAAATGCCACAGCCTCCTCCCCTCTTCCCTTCATGTGACACACACAGCTCCTTGAACCTATGGATTGTGTAAATTACAGTGGTTAGCTAGACTGCGCGTTTAGATTACAGCTCATGCAGGCAAATGTTTAGGTTCAGGTTGTCAAAGTGAAGTTAGACATGTGGGTGAGGCCAGGCCACACAGCTTTCAGAGAAAGATCGGAATCCTTTYTCCTCCTGACTTTCAAATAAAAAAACATAAAAACAAAACATTTTTTGAATTGCAAAGGAAAATTAAGTGGAGCCAAGGATAATGGTGGCAAAAGCTGTAGATGAGTTTAGTTAAAAAGTAAGAAATAGGAAGTCATGAGGCTGGTAAAACAGTAAAACTACATTTGCGATGATGAATGTAATCTAGTCTGGCTTTTTTTTTTTTTTTACAAAAACACACTCAGACTAACATCCACATAACATATATTTAGCTCAGCTTAAGAAAGGATCATAAATTATGTAACTGATATTTACAGGGAAGGCTGGTGACTGAGAATTCTGATTATTTTGACAGTCAGTCATAAAAGTTTTACTGCTGACATTCAGCTCAAACAGAGGAACATTTAAAGGTAAAGAACACTGAAATAGGTTCAAAGTACAGAGAAACTCCAGCGAGTGGCTTGTTGTAGAGGTGTGTTATCAAAATATGAAGCTAAAGTTGGTGTATATTTATGTATTCATTCATGGAAATTGGATAAAATGATTTATAAAGCCTAAACATGTAGGCGTGGGGGGAAACAAACTGCTGCAGCAACCCATACAAACAAGATAATTCTATTTTTCTCAAACACCAAATAGCCTTTCTTAACATTTCAAAACCTAAAATGTTTAGTTTCACCCAAATGATTCAACAGTAAGAAATTGTGGAAGACTAAAAAGACTGGGTAAATGCAAGGATGAATATTTGTACACGGACATAGACAAATGAAAGTGATGCCGGRCAAAGCCAAAGTTCTTAAAGATGTTTTAGAAAAATGAGCCTGAATGGATGAGGTTGAAATGATAAATACAATTTGCTGGTGTTTCACTTAAAACATTCAGTTTTTTAAAGCCTGCAAGTTTTATTATCATTCTGATTTGCCAGAATCTATTATGACCAGAAGTGAAAGTTGTACACATAGTATTTTTCAGTRTTAAAAAGAGGATGTGCTAAAACAYTGTTTCTATAYTGGAAATACCAAGTAGAGCTCAGTTATTGTTTGTTAGCGATGCTCAGCCTTAGCAGTGAGACGAGGAAWGTGAGGATTCCTGTTTAGTCGAAGTTAAACAGGAAACRTCTTACACGGTTTCACTACAAATGATTTAACAAAGGGAGTATATACAGATGCAGGTGTGGCTTAAATCTTTATAAAAACTWAAACAATGACTGCATCGTGAATTAATACCTTGTAAAACCAGTGTGTTTATTGAAAAACATACACATTACTTGTTCTCGCTAGCATTATCAGTTGTTTTTAGTTCATTTTTTGCACATGATAAAACTTTAAATACTTCTAAACGTGGAGGTTTCAGTTATAAATTAAAACATGGCAGAAAAAATGACAAATAACTGAGTCTTTGGATCCGTGTTATAAAAATTCTAAAATTGACACAAAATTTCTGCCTTTTTACAGCACTTTAACTCTTAGATTATTAAAGTATAAATCACTGAGTTCTCTGTCTGTCTGATGCTGTTAGTTATGTTTGTTTTTTTTTCCATGTGGCTTCTCAGATTGTGAAAAAACTCAGTTACGTGAGTCTSACAAACTAAAACGAGCTGGCTGTATCTCACCATGGTAAACAAAACAGAACTATCAGTGACTCGGTTCTGCAAACTGCAGAACTCTGTCAAACAAAAAGTTAGCGCRACAATAAGARTTGACAAAGTTGACTGGCAAATTGKTTCATTCCAGCATCGTTACRCAAWGAAATTTGCTCATTTCAAGAAATCAGTGRGCTGAAATTCAATGAGCACACGCTGTCAGTTTCTGCAATATTACCTTCAGAACACTGCTTTGTCAGAATTGCTTGATAACCAAAATAATCTGAGGCTGACTCGACTRAAATTCTATAAATTAGAGAGCCATTGATACTGTGATCAACTCTTCAACTGCTAAAAATATTTGACAAATCACAGAAAAAAGCTACATAAAAAAAACTAATTTTATTTAGAACAAAAACTAAAGGATCATAATGAACTTGCTTTGAGGCTCAGAAATTCTTTAAACGTAAAAGTACTGATCTAAGGTTTTGTAGAACAAAATCTGATCTTTTTAAATAAAATACATTTTTCAGAAAGAGACTAAATGTGGGYTTTCCTTCAGTCTAGCTCATGTACAGCCAACTTGACTTGGTCCAAATCTCCATAATGTAAACAGGGTTGTCATCAGACCCATTTTACTGTGGCAATAGTATCGACTTACTGTAGTCTAAAGAAAATATTGGTTTTATCAAGCTGCCAATCCAAGGTCATTTAGAAAGATAGCACCAGGAGCAGTTAGAGCTTTGCTTTACAGTGTGTTGGTAGAACAAAAAAGACACAAACTGCACTAACACAGCCAAAAAAGTAACTAAAGCCTTTAGAGAAATACAGTGGAGTAAAAGTAAACAGTTCTCAATAAAAATTCTACTCAAGTAAAGTACAAATTTTCAAAAACCGTATAAGTGCAGTC